AAAGTAATAATAAAATGCAAAGTTAGTACTTATTTACAATGTGTATTTCTGTCTGTTGCCCAAGAAAATATTTTTCTTAAAATCCTTTTGTCATCACAATGACCAGTACAAATGTGCACACACTACTATGCAACAAAGATTAAAGCCATGAAAAAATGTACTATGATGAATTCGTGTTGCAATCTCACAGCTAAACCAAAAACTTCTTATCAGTCTCATCTTCTGAGTGTTGTCTGAAACAGTGCTCGTGGCTCACTCTATGGTGCACGTCTGGGATTCATTTTACATCGAGCGTCTTCAGTTCCCCACAGACTCATAGGCATCAAAGCAGTCATATTTATTTGTTTTGGATTTTTATCAGCTAGTGTCTTGACTTGTGACTAGGGAATCCGGGTATGCCTAAGGGACCTGTAATAACTCTTGGTGTTTGTCTTTCTGTTTGTCTTTGTGTTTTTGTCTATTAACCAATAAGAAAAACATATTTTATTTACTACAGATAGTTGTCAAATCTTGTTGCTAAACTTGAAGATGTGTTTACTGTGGGTGTAAAAAGACAACACTTATAGGTGGAAATCTGCAGGGATATGATGTAAACATGGCCATCTAAGTACATAATGGATTATACATTGAGTCTATTTAGACTGTGAGATCCTTTTCAGCAGCAGTGCACTGATCAGTAAACATTCATAGATGTGTGCTTTTTTTCCCTCTCTAATGTTTCAGGAGTTTTTAAAAGAAAAATATCTCTTCCTATTCACAATATTTTCTCCAATTTGTTCATTCTCTATTCTCTCTTCTCAGCTATATGTGCGCTGTGCTGTTAGAGAGTTCATGGTGTTAACTGTATTAAACAGGGGATTAATGCCCGGGGCTCTGGATCTCTGGTAATAGCAGACGGAAATACTGATCAAAGGACTCTAACTGTGCCGTGGGTGTTCGGACTGCCTCTGTCTGCTTCTCTGCATTACAAGAAGATTGGGCTTGGAGGATACACCATATAAGCAGACAGCTCTGGAGCTTTCTGTAGGTTTACTCTGGGATGGACAGGTGAAGGTCCCATCAAGTATAATTAGGGCACGACTACTAGTTCAGTGGTAAAGTATAGATAATATGAGACAAGATAAAACATACCTTTTCTGTCCTTTAAGCTTGGTGGAGTTTGAGCAGTTTAGTTTTGGGTACAATTATGCGTGCTTGTGTGTTTCTACATGTGTATGCACATAGGTGCTTTTGTCTTCTCTATTTGTGTCTGTATGTTCCATTTGTGCTGCATCCCAGAAGCTATGAACAACACATCCTCCAGGCTTCTTACCTTTGTGGTGACAGGGTCAGCAGTCAGAGCTGCTTAGCAGCATGCTCCTCTCATTACATGCATCAGCAGCAATATTACAGCCCCTACTGTGAAAGCATTGGAAGTGCACGTTTATAAGCTTTAATTGTTTGCTAAGTGGTTAGACATATTGAAAGTATCTAACGTGTAAAATTATCAGCTGTAGTTAAAAGTTCAGCTGTTAGCAAGGAAGAGCCCTACACACGTCTTTGTTAAGAACATTTATGTCTTTTGGTTCATTTGTGCTTAATATTAACCTAGAAAAGTGTAATGAGGTATATACCTTATGATACATATGTGCTATGCATTTTCATGAGTCATCAGGGACATGGGCTATGGCTGCTATACATAGCAGCTGTAAATTAATGTTACCCTTATGTCTTCTCCTTGCATGTTTATGTGCTCACAAATCTTTTACACAATGGGGTAAAGTAAAATCATAATAGTACCCTCACTACTACTGCAAATGTTACATTTAACATTTATTTATTTTCATTTATTTAAGTTTGGTTTTTCCAATTTGTAAGATTTGTGTTTATAGGTGTATTAGTTTCAGCAGTTACAAAGAAGCATTTGAAAGTCAAAGAAGTTAAAGCCAAGAGTTCTCCATGATTTTACAAGTTTTCCCAGGCTTGGTGGGGCTGGTTGGGTTAGGGTGTGTGAAAAGCATCAGAGCAACAGAAGCAGAGAAACCTGCACTGAGTGTGAAATAAAGACTGAGTATGATGAAGTTGGTAAATGGTTGTGAAAGTAGGCTCCCCGCCGGTTCTGTGGAGCGGCGAAACGAGGCCAAGCCCAGTTCTGGCTAATAAGTGTGAGCAAATGCAGCCAAGAGGCCTCAGCCAGTGGCCGCATAACACCTATTATCAGCCTTACTATAAGACATCCACGTGTTTCCATTTACAGGGTATTGTTTAAGCTGTGGGAAGGTTCTTCGGTGTGAGAATGTTGACACGTCTCTGCTTGTGTCTGTCAGTGCTGACAGTCTTTAATAGTTTTGTGGGGGTCAGCCTCCTGCTACGTGTGGATAGTTGGAGGAAGAATGGCCAGGATATATGAGGACAATCTGGCTCTGCTGACACCCCACCGAAGGAGGATGGGAGAAAGGAATATTTCTGTTACTGCTATTTTGTGGCCTGTAATTGTCTGTAAGGTCTGTAAAATAGGATAGTAGAGCAAAGAGCTGCAATGCAATGGCAGGGGACAGAGGTTCAGAAAGTACACAGGGGACTGATAAAGGAGGTGTGTGCTGAGCCGACGAGCGAGAAAAATGTGGATGTTTGTTGTGAATTGTGATATTGTGAATGCCACGGTGTGTTCCAGCAGTAGTTTTCACTACAGCCAAATGTCTTTTCCCCCCTTTTTTCCGTTTAAACAGATCCAGTCATGGGTGGAAGGACCCTGCTGGTGGTATCTGTGGTGGTGGGCTTGGCCCTGACCCCAGTGGATATAATAGTGCAGTGGAAAATGTCCTGTCAGTTGATGGAGGAGCTGCCTGTAGCAGCAGGAAGGAGTGTGGCGACAGGGGCCATGTGTGTTAACCTCTTTCCTTGTCACTTTTTCTGTCTTTCTGCCCACCCCCTCTCTACTTTCATCTCCACCTTTTTCCCTTTTTCTTTCCATCTTTGTTCCCCTAGACTCCACTCCCTCTACCTACAGACCTCCATGACAAATTACTCCTGGCGGTTGATTTGTTGGTTGTCAAAAGTGCTCCTTGTGCCCGCCATGAAGGTGGGGCGAGCAGGAGTAGAAGGTGCTTCTCCCCCACCCCCGCTCCCTGCGTTCCTGCCCGTCGTCATCACCTGTCCCCTGCCTCCCCCACCCTCTCACATACACTCCCGCTACAACTCAGTTTAGAGACATCTCAGTGGATATTCACATTGTGTCTCTTAAGATCTCATTAGATCTGATGTTGTCCGTATTTAATCAGCTCGCACGTTGGGTTTCCAACCCTCTTTTGACAGGACTGTTTTGATATGTTCTTGCTTGTGTCAAAAGAGAAGCTTTAGGAGAATCTTTTGTTATTTACGTAGTAGGAGGAAGTGAAGGAGGAGCAGAAGAGAAAAACGTGAGTGAGAGATAAAGACTTTATGACAGAATTATAGATGTCACTGTTTGTGGTAGGCTGTCTGCTGTAGTAAGTAGCAGGAACAATTCTGCACAAAGAAATCATTATTTTACAGGATGATCTGATGAAGTAATAAGCAATAAGCAGCTTAGGATGCTAATGTACTATAATATACTTCATTTTCAGTGATGTTCCTGCAAAGATGTGAATATTAAGACATTTAAGCTACTAAATATTTGCAAATCAGCCTGCTTAGGAATGGGTGATATGGATAAAGTACAAGGTAAAATATTATGATCTACCTGAAACTAACCAAATGGGAATTGCTTTTCCCTTTGGTTTAAATACCTGACAAATAAAGGTGTTTAATCACATTGATTCAAAAATCCTGCAAATCCAATACTGCCAGAAAGTGGTGCTGCTCATCGATTTGCAGCATAGCCAGCAAAGGCCCAATACAGCAAGATATATTAAAAGGATAAACTACCTCAGTATAATAAATACAGCAATTCTCTGATGGTTGACAAATCTCTCGTTTGTATACCCCGTGGTGTCGTATGTGTTGTTAGGCGAATATGTGCAGATGTGCGGGAAACTAGGCTCCGAATAGCTTCCCCTCGAGTCCTTGACCTTGAGATTTGTCCTGTGAAGTGGATGATGACTGAGCTGATGCCTGAAGGCATGGATTTGTCTTCATGTTCGTGCGAGTAACAACTGTTGTTTTACATTTGTGTTTAGCTTTCGTCTCACATTAGGTAGACGGTTAACATATACAATATTAGACGGATGGCGCAGTCTGCAGAGTGTGTCGGCGTGTTGTTTATAGCAACGGCTGTTTAAGCTCAGTCCGTGGCGATTTTATTTCGTCAGGTTTTTGCTGTTTTTAAAAAAAACTCATCTCCCTGTCAGTCCCTCACACTGTTTTATTCACTAACTGTTTGGCTTTCGAGAAAGTAATAGAATATGTTTTCCTTTCAACCCCAGCTATACAGATGCTAGATTGCTTTGTGTATCACCATCAAAACACAGAAGAGCGCATTGCAATCCACTTGTGTTCAAAAGTCTAAAACCATGTTGTCTCTCTGTCTCTCTTTTTTCTTTTTTTCTTTTTTTTAAAGAGGGGTTAAGCTTTTATCCTATAAATATGGCATGAAAATCCCACTGTCAACGACACATTCATTCTAAGGCCCGTATTAACATAAAAATGAGGGCTTGTTATACAGTGAGATTTCAATAAAAAGAACACAAAATGCATTTAATGAAATTCAGATGCTGGGCCCTAGCTCACTGAATATCATTAAATGAGCTTTGTGCTGTTTTTCCATCTTCTTTTTGTAGAAGAGGTCCTTGAGTGCCCTTAATAATGTGGCAGATTTCATCATATTCCTGATTTAAAGAGGACAATGTCTGTCTTGTTCACTTGTTCTTTTCCATGCCCAAACCAATCTCCACAGATGTGCTTGCATAGTTTCTGGATCTGGCTCATGATAATATTCCATCTTTTTTCTTTTTTTTAATTTTACTTACTGAAGTTTTGTGAAGGTTCGCCACTAACCCGGTCTCTTCTTGTGCCCCCTCCCTCTTCTGTTTCTCTCTACATAGGATTTGGTTTCATAACATTTGACAGTGAAGACATCGTAGAGAAAGTCTGTGAAATTCATTTTCATGAAATCAATAACAAAATGGTAAGTCTACGCATTATATTTTTTCCAATTCCAGGTGGACGTTGAAGGATTAATATTTGATTTCTTCTTTCCTTAGTATTAATAGCACAGCTGGTGTGGGTGCGTATGTGTGTGTCCATGTTCAAATGCACAGGCTAGCACACACACACACACACGCACACACACATATAGACACTCTGTGGGTCTCTGGGTCTCAGGGATGTGAAAGCAGTGGTGTGTACTGCCCACAAACCGTGAAATTGTGTGGCTGAGTTCTGCCTGTCAGGCTGAGGGACGGGAGAGTGGAGCCTGTCCCTCTCTTTCTGAATCCCCTACCATGCACACACATGCGCACACACACACACGCGCATACACAGGTAGAGATGTCCAGGGATCCAACAGGGAGGCTACTGGCAGAGGCCGAGTTCATTAGTCAGGGATTAACACCTTCCACAGAGTGCCAGTGATGCTTGTTTTATTTACACCAGTAATATGGTCATCCCAGAACTCCTCAGAGTTCAGCAGCAGTTTTCTAAGTCATCGTGTAACTTATGATAATTGGCAGGAAACGTTTTCAGTGTAGAAAGTGTGACATTAGGTCCTCCTTCACCCAGTTCCACCCTGCAGGCGTCTTAAGAAATCCTGCGCCATTTAAGCACGTTTGCGGACGGCAATTAATTGGAGGACTAGTCGTCTTACTACCGTTCAGCGGTGCTCCTTCTCTTCGCTGTGCATCTTCACTCTCTTTCACAGTTCTTCCCTGGAAATGACTGACTGACCGGGTATGTGACTGACAAGACCAGTGTAGTAGAACCGTGTTCACCAGGGACCACTCCAGGTCACACATGACCCCCGGTATATGTCCCCGCGTGTCTCGGCACTGCATCACAGTCAGCGCTCAGGACCGAAACGCAAAAAGCCAGAGTGTGACAGAAATAACTGTGTGTGCATGGAAGGTAGCGTGTCACAATCAAATGCTTCAGAGCCTTTGATTTGTAGACGCAGCACCGTGTGAACACACAAAAATCACGCAACGGTATAAAGTGTAACATCTGACAGCTGTAGATTTTCTAAACCCTTCTCTTCAAAAAAAAAAAATTAAGTTACAAAAATAGTGGATGCAACTTTTTGTTTGTTATTAAATCTGAGCTCTGGAGAATATCCTGGCTGGCATAGTTTGAGCCCCTCTCCACCTTTTTACCTTAATTAAAAATTCTCGTGATGTAAGTCAAACTCACAGCCTGTTTGTTAGAACTTGTAATTGGATAATAAATGAATCTTGAATTGTGTTTCCAATTACGAGGCTGAATTTCCTTAACTGAAAAAATTTGTTAATCTTGCATTTTAAAAAATACACTATTATGTATCAGTATGTTATTAAATTAGTTGCACACAAATTAAGGTTTTTAAATTAGGTTTAAAAGAGCACGAGTGGACTGTTCAGATTTTAAAAACAATCTAATCTTTTATAACTGTTATTACTTAGCAAATAGTTATATGAAGTTCAGAGCAGTTAAATTATTTGCTTGCAAGCTTGCATGAATTAAGAAATTACAAGGACTTTTAGAGAACGACCGCTGCACGGGTCTTATACTTAAAAACAAGGCGTTACCCAATTGTCTTGTATGTGGGAACATGCTGTGCATAGCAGTCGAAAGCAAATACCTGTCAGCGAATATTATTAGAAACATAAAATCTCCTGATACACCTCAGTCTAACAGGCTTCATGTGAGAAAATGAGCACATGGTATATACTTGGTCAGCGATGAGGTGTATGTGCAGTCGGTCCACTGTAGCTAGCCCAGCTGCTCAAAACATCTGCTCAAGTGGATTCAAACTCACAAATAGTGTTACTGTCGTGCCAACTTCCATAGCCCAGGGATTCTCTGGCATTTACATTCCATCGGCAAAAACGCTTTCTGTCCAGAGAAATGGAATCTCACATACAGGAGAATAGATTTATTAGGATTATTCAAAGCTATACTGTTAATAAGTGCGATGTAAAAAAAAAAAATAGTAAAAATGTTGTCATGAAAAGCATGTGTCCTCTTTCATGCACATTCCAAATCTTTGCCTAAAGGGATGATATAGGAAAAATTAGAATAAGAATCTTCTAATTATACATATAAATAGAAAAGATTGTTATTACTACAGAGAGGAGTTTTTTGAGGAAGCGGATTAAAGAGAGATGGATGAGAAATTATAGGCTATTTTTGTGTTGCCATTAACATCAAAGCTTTCTCTGATGCAACACTCACTGTATGGAAATGACTCGCTGTTACGTCACAGTTAATAACAGTTACTAATGTTGTTATTTATTTAACCTTTGCTGCTGAAGTGCTGTGTAAAGTGTAAGATTTGCGACCACGGGGGATGCATGGGGAGTTTGAGTGGTCAAAAGTGCATGTGACACACTGTTGTGCATTGACATGTTGAACCTAATAGGGCGTGCACAGAAAATGTTTCAAGTGCCACATAACTGCAAAAGCTGTATCCCTAGCCTGGTCACTCCACCTGGGAGTCCTAGAAACCCTAACAGACAAGATGAGATGGGTTTTTTTCTCACTTGGGGTGGAAAGGACACCGTAAGGTCTGGTTTTCTAAGGCTTTTGTCACCTTTGTAACAGCCCCTGTTGGCAGTACCTACTGCACATTAAGTTCCTTTGGATACAGGAAATAAATCTTCTACAAAGTGCTGACATCTAGGAAGGATGTCAAAAGAGAAAAGAATTTGGAGTGCGTTGAGCATTTTTCTAAGACACAAAATGTTTTTTACCTTAGTTGCTCATAGGAGGAAACTGGTTATCCGGTGTCTGAAGCACCAGCACATAAAATAAAAAATGCCTCCTGTCTTCATCCTTATGAAGTACTATACAGAAATAGACCTCATCCATCCTCCCCATGAGTGTTATCTAAGATGGTTCTTGAATAATTGATGCAGACAGAAATTCCACCCCACTTGGGAGGGATGTGGATGTACAGGGCAGCCCACCTTCTCCTTGCATGTCCTCTCAGGAGCTCTGGCGGTGTACCAGGGTCAGCGTCCACTCAGATGTGAGGGACCGGACCTTTAAGTGACTTGGTCGCTCACCCTGTGTTCATGTGCCACCGAGGCCTCGCTCTCTCAGGAGCGCTTCATCTCTTCACTGTGAGTTCTGCCTCATACATAATTAAAAATAGGGTGCTGCTTAGCAAGAGTCTCATAACCTGTGACACCAGCTGCACTGACTTCTCCATTAGCCTGCTTTCGCAAATGTAGGCTGTGATAAAAGTATCGATCATCCCCTTCAGGGCCACACGTGATTGTGGAAACATGATTTAGCTACCGTGGCACCCACCCCTGTATTAAAACCAGTAAATATTTTCAGAGTAAAAAAAAAAATCAATACAGGGGAGATTACGTGACAGTTTTCTGGTACTTTTTTTAACACTTTATCACACCTTACCCATATATGAATGTCTATATCATATTGTGGCGAGACAGCACCTTATTAACAAGTAACGGCTGTGACTTGTGTTTTCTTAGACAGGAGTACCCCCCCACCCCAACAAATCACATACACCACCCTGCTGTTATGCATGCACAGCTAATTCATAATAATACCTATCAAGTATTGGCTCTTATGAGTGAGCAGTGTGCCATTAAAATGGAGTCACATTGGTTTCAGTGAAGTGCTTTAATGTAATGTTCTTTAATGTGTTATTTTCAATATTCAGCGAATGAGTAGCAAATGATCACAACAGGAGGGAGAAATTTTCTGTTCGCTGTCAATTTCTCACTGTGTCTTCCTGACATGACCAGCCAATTACTGCGCCGAGGAGAATAAGCTCCGACTCTCCAAGTCGCTAAGGAGAAGACTAATATAAGTAGGCGTTTATACAATAGCTCCTAATGCAGAGATACAGATGTACTCTGCACAGTGTATTGACTCAAGCATAATGTTGAAAGAGAAGTAGTAAAATGTATAATGCAGCCCATATATTTCTGTGGCTACGACGTGTGTTTCACAACAGCACCATATGGTACTTTGCTGTCATTGAAGGCACGGAAAGCATTGTTTTTCTCCAAAATCATCTTGATCTTTGATTCACAGTTTTCTCTTTTTAATGTTCTGCAGGGATAAAATAATTCAAGTTAGTACTTAAAAGATTCGACTCATTTGTAAGCCTTTATACCAGATTTACAATAATGAATGTGTAGTTGCAGCCAGCTGGATAAAGTTGCCTGCTCTGGTGCATGCTGTATAATACTGTGCCAGATTTTTATGCAATTCCAATGTTTGGACCCTTATGTAGCACACAGCATAATCTCTGATTGTATTGTACGATACAGATTCAGATTCATAGGTCATATTGACACGGACCACAAAAAGAAAAAAACAGTGTCCTAAAGAATCATCTTCAGTGACGAGATGATTTGCTCATCTCAACATCATTGAGTCGGTCCGGATTTATATGAAAAAACAGAAGCAGCCGAGGCCGTCTAAATCAATAGATGAACTGTGGCGAGTTCTCCAAGATTCTTGGAATAACCAACCTGCCAGGAGTCCTGAACAAATGTTGGTTAGTGTGTGGAGGAGCATTTATGCTACTCAAAAGCAAAGGGTTGTCACAACAAATGTTAATATTGATTTAGGGCTTTTCTGTTTGGTGCACTATTAGGTTAATTCAGTGGTGGAATGGAGCATTGTTTCAATTAGCGTTGGTAGTGGAGAAAGCATGACATACTTTGGGAATATTTGAAAATGTGATTGGAATGATTCTATGAATAAAATTACTCCCATTAGGTTAAAAACACAGCAGGAGCCAGGATTCTCCAAAACCACTTTCCGTTTTCTTAACCCTCTCAAGGCAGGCGTTGCAGATTTGCAACAGTTAAAAGCTAACAACCTGATTGCCCCACATACATATTTTATGAGTTTTTTTTACTCAGAAGTACCACTGCAGGTATTATTTTGTGCATTAGCAACAAAAACCTAATTTGAGCCTGAGAAGGTTAAAGGGGATGAAAAAGGTATCAA